TTTTTTTTTGAGACACTGCTTTGGCAAACAAACCCTATTTTGTTTTTTGATGAACAGGTAAGTTTGGCTGATAGAGGTACCTTTGCAGACATCTACTTCTATGGCTGAAGGTGTTTTGAAAGAAAGCTTGCAGATATCTAGTCCCGATGATGTTCAACATTTTTAATGTTGATCTACAAATACAAATGAAAAAGTTACACACAAAATGTCATAGTGTCAAATAATGGTGAGGTCTGGGCAATCACACAGAGCCTGAGCTAATAAAAACGCATTTTCTTGCTATGCTGATGGGAAGTCACACATATATAGGCTTAAGGAAGGCAGGAAGGCCACAACCAGAGAATGACAGACCAAGAAAACAGCAGTTCTTTAAAGGATTTAAAGGCTGGCCACTCAGCATGAGCTCCTGTTGCAAGAGAATCACAGCAAAGATTAATGGGATCCTTAGAAGCACCAGCCACGAAGCAATGGCAGTGTTGGGAAGACGGACACTGGGATTTGGTGCACATAAAGGACCAACAAACATCATATGGGGTGCCAGAAATGGAGCATTGGCTGGAAAACTGGGGAAAATATCTTCTAGGGAAGCTGGGATTCACCTCTTCTAACTTCTGATGTCTAAAGCTAATGCGAAATTAATCCTTCCTGAGGTGGGTCAGAGAGCTAAAGATTGTAAGCTCAGAAGAAAGGTGTTTGGTTGGCATCGGGGCATAGGTATGGTGTTCCTACAGAGCTTGGGTGATGGCAGACCATCCTGACCAGCAGGGATGGGCATGTCAAGGACCTGCAGAAGCCAAAAAAATGCAAAAGAGAAGTCCAACACAATTTTTTTCTCAGAGATAGTAAACTCTCCCTTGGACTAAGCTCCAACAGGGAGTGTTGAATTCCCCAATTCTGGAGAAAAGCTAGCTTGAATGGACGTCACATTATGATCAACAGTGTGCTTAGTGGGCCTGAGGCCAGAAGAAACGGGGTGACTTTCACATAGTGTTTGGTATGAGTTCAAACTAGGTGACCCCGCGATCCCTGTGGACCTTCCGCTCAGCCTGCCGCTCTTGTTAGAAGAATCAGCCTTTTGCTTTCATTTAAAACCTGGGTCCCAGACCTGAAGGCCTGTTGGGAGGACCTGTGCTCCTGCAGAAAACTCCGCTACGTGTTGTCTCCGCAACAGAGAAAACTACTCTTCCTTCCACAAACTCTTTGCTAAGTCAGAAGAGGGTGTGGTGATGAGAGCAGTAAAATATGGGATCTAATCTATGCACCTGCTGCAATTTCCCCTCTCTCTGCTGGTACAGGCAGCCTGGGCTGCTGATTTATGGGCATGATTTATGTCTCCTTTCCACGCCATGGACTGCTTGTGCACTCTCCTTGAAGCAATCTAAGCCGAACATGATATGAAAAAGGAGAGACTGCATCGTATTTCTGCCACACTGCTTGTCAGACAGAACCGAAAAGCAAACTCTGGTCAGAGTTGAGCTTCCTTGCTTTTTCATCCTAGGAGAGTTTCAGCTCAAAGTGCCTTTCTGTAACTCAAAGAAGGGCGAGGGTCAGTGAGTCTCCAGAAGCGAGTGTGTGATCTGTGCCTTCGAGGCCAGGGAATGAGCCTTTGCTTATTTTATTTAGTAGGATAGATCTAGCAAAGGAAGAGTAGGTGCAGACATGGTTTGCCCCTCTCCGTTTCATGGTTCTGCCTCAAAAAGAGGAAAGTGACGGTTTAATCCCACTTAGGAAAAGCAAGCCAGTCATTTCTGAGCTGTAGGACTGTGATGAGAGTGAAGGGCTGAGATTCAGCCATCACCAAACATTAGAGCCTGCAGACCTTACTTAGATCTTTGTCATCATTTTGCCTTGTCTCAGAGGAGATGCACATCTCTGAGACCCCACCTGGAGCTCTGTGTCCAGTTCTGGGCTCCCCAGTTCAAGAAGGGTGAGGAACTCCTAGAGAGAGTCCAGAGGAGGGCAACTAGGATGATGGGGGGACTGGAGCATCTCCCCTATGAGGAAAGGCTGAGGTAGCTGGGCTTGTGAGAGGGGATCTCATCAAGACCTACAAATATCTCAAGGGTGGGGGTCACCAGGACGGAGCCAGACTCTTCCCAGTGGTGCCCAGCGCCAGGACAAGGGGCCATGGGCACAAACTGAAGCAGAAGAGGTTCCAGTTGGACGGGAGGAAGAACTTGTTGACTTTGAGGGTGCCCGAGCTGGCCCAGGCTGCCCAGGGGGGCTGTGGAGTCTCCTTCTCTGGAGATCTTCAACCCCCGCCTGGCCACTGTCCTGTGCCCCCTGCTCTGGGTGAGCCTGCTTGGGCAGGGGGGTGGGACGGGGTGAGCTCCTGAGGGCCCTGCCAGACTGGGGTTCTGGGACTCTGGGTTCATTGCAGAAAAGCAGAGCACAGCAATGCATCTCAAGTGCAAGATCGCCACCCTGCCAGGAACCGCTGAACCCAAGAACGCCGATCCAGTACCATCTCCCCTGGCACCCTTCCACCCTCCGGCACGGCGTCCTGTACGAGAAGCTGCCGCGCACTCTGCTCCCGTAGGTCCCCAGGGTCCTTTACAAAGGTGCCGCCAGCGCCTGTGAGAATCAGGAGACAGCGGGGCCTCGGGGCTAGATATTGCAGCAGAAGGGGGACTTGCGGGGATGATCCACGTGGAAGAGATCTTACTGGTGTGGCGGCACACAGATTCGCGTCCTGTAGCTCCAATTAAAATCCTCGTTCCCCGCTATTCACCTCGGGTACCGCACCGACACCTGCCTGCCTCGCAGTTCGTGTTATTTTTCACTACCAGCTTCTCTTTCCCCCTTAATTTCTGTTCTAACCAAAGATCTCCGCTGCTGCTGATCACACAGATGCCGCTGGTGATCGATACCAGTGCCAGAAGTGAGTCTTGCAGGCGTACGAAGGACTCCGATCATCTGCCGTGCTCCGCTAGAGAGAGCGCGTAACCATGAGTGGAGGGCTCGATTAGAAAAAAAAAACAAACCCCACGGTGTGCAAGGTGGTGTGTGGTTTGGAAATAAAGGCACCGGTTTTCCTTCCGCCGTATGGAGCCTTCCCATCAGGGATTTTATTTTTTTCTTTCCCTCCCCACCTCCTGAATTCCCCTGAATGCAGCCGAGAGCTTTCTATTCCGTACGTAACACATCTCGGACGGTTCGTTCCTCAGTCTCCCAGCTGCGAAGAGCAGCCTGAAAACGCCTTCGTTCCCCGCATCGAGCGGAGCAAACCAGCTAAGTAATAACGGAGCTGGAGCAGATGAAAAGAATTAAGTGTGATAACCCCCCTGTTCCGTGAGGATTTGCAACATTGAGGGGGATATTCCCCTCCGTGCTGGGACCAAGGCTATCGACAGAAACATGGCAGCCCAGCCAGAACAAGCGATGCACGGGGGAGCTGCTGTGCCCGGCTGCCGAGCGACCCTCGGGGAGCTGGTGCGGGCAGCTGGGGACCCAGCACCGCTGATTGCAGGGGGCACGGGGGATTCGGGGCTCCCTGGGTTGTCGCCACATACATGCGTTTGGTCTTCTTGTGGGGAATCACAGAACCATAGGATGGTTTGGGTGGGAAGGGACCCCTAGAGGTCACCCAGCCCAACCCCCCTGCAGGAGCAGGGACACCTTGAACCACAGCAGGTTGCTCACAGCCCCCTCCAACCTGGCCTGGAATGGTCCCAGGGATGGGGCCTCCACCCCCTCTCTGGGCAACCCCTGCCAGGGTTTCACCACCCTCAGTGTAAAGAATTTCTTCCTTAGATCCAGTCTAACCCTCCCCTGCTTCAGTTTAAACCCATCCCCCCTTGTCCTGTCCCAGCTGGCCCTACTAAAAAGCTTGTCCCCCCCTTTCCTCTGGGCCCCCTTGAAGCCCTGAGCGGCCGCACTCAGCTCTGCCCGCAGCCTTCTCTTCTCCAGGCTGAACACCCCCAACTCTCCCAGCCTGGCCTCCTAGCAGAGGGGCTCCAGTCCTCGGAGCATTTTAGTAGCCCTCCTCTGGCCCCGCTCCAACAGGTCCATGTCCTCCTTGTGCTGAGGGCTCCAGAGCTGGACACACTGAAAGACGGGAAGGGAAAATGAGATGTGTTCCCCTTCTCTGCCTCCTAACGAAACGAGGTGACATGTCTACAAATTTCTCACACCTCCTCCAGCTTTCAAATCATTCGATACTGGGGTTATTTTATTTCTTTAAAGAAAAAAAAAAAACCTAATTTTTTGGTTCAGCCTCACGATTAAAGAGAGTAAGGACAAAATGTGGTTTCTGAGGGGTTTGGGATTAGTTGCTCTGCCTGTGGGGATTTGCTGAGAACCTAAGCGTGGTTAGGTGTTACCTCCAGTCTCAAAGCTTTGTACTGTCAATGAATATCTAATCAAGTACTGGCTGACAGCAGCATCGTACGCAAGCCACACCATTGCTCTTTCTTCCTCCACTCCGATTGTTTTTCCCAACAGGCACACCACTATGAAGTACGGGACCGTGGCTAAAGACAACAGCACCCTGGTGACCCAGTTCGTCCTCCTAGGGCTGACCAGCGAGCCCAAGCTGCAGACTCCTCTCTTCATAATCTTCTTAATGATTTATCTCATCACCCTGGTGGGTAACCTTGGGCTGATCGCTCTGATCAAGACAAACCACCAGCTGCACACTCCCATGTACTTTTTCCTCGGCAATCTGTCCATGGTTGATCTTTGCTACTCCTCCGTCTTTTCTCCAAAGCTGCTCATTGGCTTCTTGGTGGAAAAGAAAACCATTTCCTACCCTGCCTGCTTTGCCCAGCATTTCTTTTTCCTTGCGCTTATCACCACGGAGGTGCTCTTGCTGGCTGCGATGGCGTACGACCGCTACGTAGCCATTTGCAAGCCGCTGCTCTACGCTATTTCTATGCCCAAGAGGGTCTGCATTCAGCTGGTGGCCGGGTCATATGCGGGGGGGGTTTTGAACTCACTGATCCAAACTTGTTGCTTGCTGCCGTTGCCTTTTTGTGGCCCCAACGTCATCAACCATTACTTCTGTGACACCAACCCGCTGCTGAAGCTCGCCTGCTCAGATGGCCGCCCCAATGAGCTTTTGCTCGTAACCTTCAACGGAACCATTTCCATGTCCGTGCTCGTCATCATCATCATCTCCTACGTTTACATCCTCCTCTCCATCCTGAGGATTAGGTCTGCCAAAGGAAGGCACAAAGCCTTCTCCACCTGCGCCTCCCACCTCCTGACCGTGACCTTGTTCTACGTCCCCGCCGGGCTGAGCCACATGCAGCCGGGCTCCAGGTACTCGCTGGAGATGGAGAAAGTCACCGCCGTGTTTTACACCCTGATGGTTCCTCTGCTCAACCCTCTGATCTACAGCTTGAGGAACAAGGAGGTCAAGGACGCGCTTCAAAAAACGACGGCGAATAACGTTTTGGCAAGCTGCTTGCTGGCCAAACTGGCCCTGGGCAGTTGAGAAGATTCCTGCCGCTTCCCTTTTTAAGCAGCCTTCCACCGGCTGCCTGGAGGGGTAAGGAACCACAGGCATTTACGGAAGCAGGCACAACACGTTTTAAGCGTGCTCTAAAATCCGCAGCGCCTCACCGTTAGCAGACATCCTGTCGTTACTGGCTTCTGACAAACATCCTCGTCTCATCCCTTGGGTTGGGTTCTTTTTTTTTCTGTGAAATGATGTAATATCACAGGAGGGGGTAAAAATAAGCTCGTAAGGAATTTCCCTCTTAAGCTTAGCATCTTTAGAAGTTACACTGATTCGAGCAGCGATTTCTCTGGAGGCAAGTTCAAGGAGGACTGGAGGCTTTGGGGGAAGTATATCCAAAAAAAAAAAAAAAACACCAAACCCCAAACCCACCTCACTTTAGGCTGACTGCAAGGAAAACAAGAAGAAAGCTCATGTGCTTCCTGGGGGATGTGCCATGGAAAATAAGGAAAGGGAGGACAAGGAGGGACCACTGATCTAGTATCAGGTAGATTCTAAAGTGACCAGAACATCGTGGCCTGGAAGCAGCATGGCTGTGCCTGTGCTAAAAAAAAAACAAAACCAAACTTCCACCGCTTTGCCTCCAGACCTGGAGGAGGCTTCCAGGCGTTTTCATCCCAAGCTCCGGCTTGGCTCTGCCCCTACCCAGCAGCACGCTCGGCCACCCGTGTGGATCTCACCCCACCCCTTGCTTCCTACAGCGGGGAGATGTTTAATTCCGCCAACGAGCTTGCCCCATGGGAGAGAGAGATGGGCTTCGGCTGACCAGCACCTTCCATCTGCTTCAGGAGGAGCAGCAGCAGCTTTAGCAGTGGAATTTCTCCCTAGCAGCCTGGTTGAACCTAACTCGCTATGGAGAAGTATTTCCCCCCCTTATTTTCTTGCTGAGGGGCAGCTGTAAATGATATTTCCTCCCAGCTGGCTCCTCCCCGAGATGCCGAGGCGCTACCACCGAGGGATGCTGCAGAATCTCGCCAAAGCCGAGACGAGGCTGACTTTTCAGGGACCTTGAGCAGTAAGAGCTGGGATGGCAAGTCCCCACAGAGAGAGAGGGGGGGTGTCAGCTGTCACTTAACATTAACTTGCACATGACTGCATCCGAGTTCGCCCAGACATGGCGCTTTCCATCGCTAATGTAAGGGCTAAACACTCCTAGCACGATTTCTTTTAGATGGCCCTAGAAACCACGACCTAAGCACGCCCACTGCATTGTTATGCCAATAATCCAAACTTTTTTTCTTTTTTTGCTCAGATGTAAGAGTCTACATTGTGGATTCCTAATATAGAGTAAAATAAAATCTGCCTGGGGCGGACAGCCCAGCAGGGGCCATTTTTCTTAAGAGATGGCCACGGGAAAAGGCGTGGCCAGGTCTTTATCACACTTACCTTCCATAACAGCTTGCTTTATCCTCAGCTTGGAGGGTCTGGTCACGCATTAGGAGTTGTCCATGCTGTTTGCGTGATGCAACATGGCTCAGGGAGCAGCAAGGACCAGTTACTCCCTAAGGGAAAGGCAAACTGGGAGCTGAAGGTGGCCACGATCCAGGGTGGGCGATGGCCTCACCCGCAGGGCACGGTCCCACGGCACCCGAGCAGAGCAGCAGCCCCCATCGATGGCCCAGGGGAAACAGAGGGTGAGATCTAAGCCAAGGAAACTGAAGAACAGACCAGGACCAGCTACAGCACAGCTCTGAAAGTGGTCAAAGACCCAGGGCTGAGCTTAAATAGTGCCCCAAGCCCTGGGCAGAGGGTGTGGGTGGAGGCCCCAGGTGATGCTGGCCATGGCAATTGCCGTGGTTGCATTCCCTGATGACTCAGGGAGAGGGGAACTGGGGGTTTTTCCCCCACCCAGCGCTCTAAACACAGCTACACCACTGTACCCAGACTTCAGTGACCTGTCCCTAGGCATAGAGGATGGAAGGATGGAGCAGAAGGGAACGATGAGCTCCTTCGCCGTGTGTTAACGATTCTCCTCCCTCCTTCTGAGTCACGCAGAATCGAGGTGCTACAGAGGTCACATTCTTGGGGAAATTGCCCAAATGCCTCTAATTTTCCTGAAAACTCCATCAGAAACTTGGCTTAAAGCCTTTGTAGCATTTCCTATCACGCCAGCTTAAAGCTGGTTATAACTGGTTTCCATTGCAGTCAGTCGTTATTCATTACCGTTCTTTGAGGAAGACCACGGTTTACAAAGGCACTTTTTCTAAAACATAAATCTGTTCACTTTGTCATTACTCAAGCTGCGGGTTCTTCCAGAAATTGTACAGTTCATTAAAGGTCTGTCTTGATTAAACATTAAAAAACCCGTGGTCTACTGTTTTCTTTAGAGCATCTTCCACCTCAGCCATGCGATGACATACAGAAGAGTCGTAACGCAGTCAACTGTGGTTCAGTGGCTGCCACATGAAGCACGGACCTCTTGCCACTCAGCTGACAGGGGAAATAGTGATAGAGCTGGAGAAAATACGTCCCAGGAAGATTTTGGTTGGGATACACTTCTGGCAACGTATGTGTGCCCACGACGAGTCGTTAGCACGGCTCCGGGTCCCCAGAGCCACCAAAGCTTGGTGCTTTCTGATGGTTCTTCCATACGTTGGTCAGGAATCGCCTCTGAGGTCGGAGCTGGACCTTGACCTGGGTGGTCACATCCCACCCTGCCATCACCAGGTCATTTCCATGGGGTTCTCCTCCTGTCAGCATTGCTGCAGGCAGCATCCTGGAGACCTTCTCAGCTCCTTCTTGTATGGACAACTGCCATCCCCACTCCCAGCCTTTACGAAGGGGACCTCACCGGGGCCCGGCTGAGCGAAGCCTTACTAAGAGCAGCTCAGATAGCGCTCCTAGAAAAATCCGGAGCGTCTGGGCCACGTTGCAGCTCTCCACGGATCACTGACTTGGACAGAGACGCAGTTCTCCAAGCTCATTTGGGAAAATCACTTATCAAGCAGGCAAGGGATAGATTAATAATCGCTTACCTCCGTTTTGAGCATCCTTTTTATGGGCAATATTTTCATTGGACACAATTTAGGCACAACGCAGCGTGGTATTACTTCAGTTTTGCTAGGAAAGCCCTGATGATTATTTTGATTAATTATTGAAGGCTCACGCCACGATGAAAATAAACTGAAGCTGTTTGAAGGGAACGATTGGTTTTGCTGGTTCCCCGTACCCCGGCGTTGCTGTGTGAGCTCCTTGGCCGTGAGCTGACCAATAACGACCGCTAACGCGTGTTCCTTCATCACCCCCAAAGTACCGAAGAGCTGCAAATGCCTTCTCAAAGCCTGGCTAGACGAGGCACCAGCTTTCGCACCCACAGCCTCCTCAGGGCCCCCTTCACCTCCTTGTTCCTCAGGCTGTAGATGAAAGGGTTGAGGGTGGGGGTCAGGACGGTGTAACATGCCGAAACCAGTTTTACCTGATCCCGGGAGCAGGCCTTGCGAGGCTGGGTGTAGGCGAGCATCCCCGGCACGTAGAAGATGGTGATGACAGCCAGGTGGGAAGCGCAGGTAGAGAAAGCTTTGAGCCTCCTTCTGGCCGAGGGCATGCGCAGGATGGTATGGAGGATGTAGGTGTAGGACACCAGGATCATCAGGACAGAGCCCGCAGTGTTCAGCTCAGCATTGGAAACCTGCAGGAGCTTGTTCGCGCGGGTGTTGGAGCAAGAGAGTTGCAGGAGGGCGGGCAGCTCGCAGAAGAAGTGGTTGATGCTCCTGGCCTGGCAGAAGGACAACCTCCCCACCAGGACGGTGTGGCCCAGGGAGGTGAGGAAGCCCGTGGTGTACACCAGCCCCATCATGCCGTAGCAACGCGCCCTGGACATGATGGTGGCATAAAGCAGCGGCTTGCACACAGCCACGTATCGGTCGTACGCCATCACCCCCAGGAGGAAGCACTCGCAGACAATCAGAGCAAGGGAAAAATACAACTGGGCAAAGCAACCCAAAAAAGAGATGTGGCCTCTCCCCCGCAGGAGGTTCTCCAGCGCCTTCGGGACGATCGTGGAGGAAAGGCAGAAATCTATGAACGATAAGTGGGTCAGGAAGAAATACATGGGGGTGTGGAGCTCGGGGTCGGCATTGATCAGCAGGATCATCACCAGGTTCCCCAGCACCATCATAATGTACAGGGATAAGAAAATTGGGAAGATGGTGGCTTGGAGCTCTGGGGCATCAGAGAAGCCCAAGAGGATGAAGCCGGGCAGAGCAGTGAGGTTTTCCACTTCCATCATTTCTGCAAGTCAGATGAATTTGCACAGAAATGAAACGAATCGGTGAAATAAATCCCTGAGAGAGAAATACCACGGAAATGCTGGAGTTTAATCCATAAAGTAAATGCAACGGAAAATGCTCTATTTGTGTAGAAAAACACAAGGTGGCTGCGTCTCTGCCTTTAACCCAAGCTTCCAAATCAAACGGGTGAAGGAGCTAATGATGCAGAGAGACTTTAAAAGAAAATAATTCTGCCATGGTTTATCTACCCTGCACTAATTGCTCAGGTGTAAGGCAATGAAGTCGAATAAACACACTCTAAAAATGTGGAAAACAGAGAAAATCCAGCTCCTCACCACTCATTTCTGGAGATTTTACGGATTTTTTTTTTCTCCTTTTTCTCAGACTGGATCAGTGTTTTTCCGCACCCTCATGAGTTCTGGTGCAGCCTTTTCATCATGAAACAAAGCTGTGCACTTGAATTTTTTTTGGTTTTAATTTCTAAATGTATCTCCTGTCGAAGAAACCCCCCTGCGTGTGCTGGAGTGGGGGGGGGGGGTGGGGGATGTGGCAGCGGCGTCTCCCCCCAGCACAGCTTTGCTCACAGTCAACTTTCTGTGGCCAAATATCCACGCAACGGCGCTAAAATATATTAAATATAAAGCAAAATTTTAAAGCTTCAGCTTGGATATCCCCACCTCTCCCACACAGCCCCTGTGCAGATGAATTATCTGGTGGGAGATCCATCCACAGATGTCTGCGTCTCAGCCGAAATGCCCCTCCATCAGCTGTAGATGGGGGTCACGAGTGGGGGCGGGGGGGGGAGGGGGTTGAAGGAAACCTCCTAACCCCTGCTAGGGCACTTGGCTTCACGCCATGGATGCTCCTGGAGGGCACGGATGGGCTTCCTTTAGCTGCAGCTGCACCAGTACAACCCGGTCACCAAACAGCATCCGCTCCCCCAAAATGGGCTGAATTAAAAAATACAGAAGGCTGAAGGGAGTGCAGGAGGGTAATGGAGCCCCAGCACCTCTCGTTTTCCTCTACTGACCTCAGATCTTCTTGATCAACGTTGCTTGGTAATGGAGATGTAGCTGTAGCTCCGTCTGGAGGGCTGGTACCCTCGAAGCATGTGTTGCTCTCTATTGACAACAATTTCATCGCCGGGATTAAATTGATGGCATCGGAGAAGGGCACTTTTCCATCCCGTAGAGGCAACCTGCGGTGACGGCCTCATCTGTGAATTTCCAGCCCTGGAGAGGACAATCCTATCTTAAATGGCTTCAAGGTTAAGAACATGCTAAATATTTCCATAGACTCATAGAATCATGGAATTGTTTGGGTTGGAGAAGCCCTTTAAGCTCCCCCAGCCCAACTGCTCCCCTACCCCTGCCATCCCACCCCCAAACCCTGGCCCTCAGCACCGCCTCTGCCCGGCTGTTAAATCCCCCCAGGGCTGGGGACTCGAACCCTTCCCTGG